TTTACAGAAAGAATGTTTTCTATGCTAATGCCAACATGACCAATGGGTTATATGTCCTTGACTTGGACATGCCTGTCTATAACATATCAGCCAAGAGGAACAAACCAAACGGTTTGAACCAAACATACCTATGGCATTGTAGGTTAGGCCATATAAACGAGAAACGCATATCCAAGCTACATCAGTCGGGAATGCTGGAGTCATTTGATCTTGAATCATATGACACATGCGAATCTTGTTTATTGGGAGATGGCCAAATTTCCTTTCACCAGACACGGTGAAATAGCTGGTGATCTTCTGGAACTCATTCATAGTGATGTGTGCGGGCCTTTCAATACAACTGCACGAGGTGGTTATTCATACTTCATCACATTTACTGATGACCTCAGTAGATATGGCTATGTGTATCTCATTAAACACAAGTCAGAATCCTTTGAAATGTTCAAAGAATTCAGGAATGAAGTTGAAAAACAACTTGGCAAAAGTATTAAAACACTACGATCCGATCGAGGTGGAGAATACTTAAGTGGTGAGTTCGATGACTATCTTAGAGAGCATGGGATTTTATCCCAACTCACACCTCCTGGGACTCTACAATGGAATGGTGTCTCTGAAAGGAGGAATCGAACCCTGCTTCACATGGTTTGTTCTATGATGGGTCATTCGACTCTACCAGAATTATTCTGGGGGTATGCGCTGAGCACTGCAATATATACTCTTAACCGAGTTCCAACCAAGGCGGTTGAAGGAACACCATACCAGCTATAGACGGGCAAATGCCCGGTTCTGTCACACTTAAAGATTTGGGGCTGTGAGGCTTACGTCAAATGTCTTATGACGAATGGCAAGCTTGACGCCAAGTCTGATAAGTGTTTCTTCATGGGATACCCCAAGGAAACTCGAGGGTATTCATTATATCACCCTATCGATAAGAAGGTATTCGTTGCTCGCAATGGTGTCTTCCTCGAGAAGGAATTTCTCTCCAACGCAACTAGTGGGAGAAAGATAGAGCTCGAAGAAATTCAAGACGACGAAGAAACTACCGCGCCGGTTCAGGAACATGAGCTAGAGGAACAAACCGTTGTACCTCAAAATGCTCAAGATACACAAGAACCCCGTAGGTCTAACCGGTTACGCACACAACCTGAAAGGTATGGATTCATCCTAACCTTTGAGGGTGACGTAATGCTTATCGACCAGGATGAGCCGGAGACCTACATCGAGGCAATCAGTTGTCCCGAGGCTGAGGAATGGCGTCAAGCCATGCAGTCCGAAATGGATTCCATGTACACCAACCAAGTATGGACTTTGGTTGATGCATCCGAAGGGATCAAACCCATTGGGTGCAAATGGGTCTTCAAAAAGAAGACTGACATGGATGGTAAGGTACAAACCTTCAAGGCACGATTGGTAGCAAAAGGATATCGTCAATTACATGGTATTGACTATGACGAACCGTTTTCTCCAGTTGTCATGATTAAATCCATTCAGATCTTACTTGCTATCGCAGCATACCACGATTACGAAATCTGGCAGATGGACGTCAAAACGGCTTTCCTTAATGGGAACCTCCTTGAGGATGTCTTTATGACACAACCTGAAGGGTTTTGCGCTCCTGAAGAATCTACCAAGGTATGCAAGTTGCAGCGATCAATCTACGGATTGAAGCAAGCCTCACGGAGTTGGAACATCCGCTTTCACGAAACTGTCATCGGCTTTGGTTTTGAAAGAAATTCGGATGAATCTTGTGTATACAAGAAGGTCAGTGGGAGTGCTNTTTTGTTGTTGCGTTGATGGTGTTGTTGTTGTCATATGACACGGCTTTTGTTGTTGCGTTGATGGTGTTGTTGTTGCAATATGACACTGCTCTTGTGTTGTTGTTGATGTTGTTCAGTTGCTGTTCATGTTGTTGTTCTTGCTGTTCTTGACGCTATTATTGTTACGTTGTTATTAACTTTCATATATTGCAGGCCCAATTCTTCAAACTGCGTGAGGAGGCTTGACAGAATGGGCTTAAAGGCTAGACAAAATGAGCTTGTAACTGACGATTCAGGAGGAGATAAGGAAGTTATATGGTGGTAACCTTCCTCTACGAGGCGATGATGATGATGGAACGGGAGGGGCTGGGCAGCCCGGGATTTGTTGACACCTTTGACATTTGACATTAACACTTTAATATTTAGTGTTTTTACAATATTATGAATTATGTTACACTTGCACGTGAAGTTTGTATCAATCTAGTTTTGAATTATCTATTTCATATTGTAATCTTACTTAGAATTATGTGTGTGAAAAATTGAATGTGTTTTGCCCGCCATTTTAATAGCTACTGCCTAAAAACAATAAAAATCTGTGTGTGTGATCAGGTGATCTGCGAGGGCAAAATCTGTCGCTGTTTTTGTTGCAGATCTGCAACGGCTATTTCCGTCGTTATGTCTGTCGCAAATCTGCCACGGATTTTCAATTCCGTCGTAGATCTGCCACGAATTTTTAATTTCGTCGCAGATTTTAAATCTGCCAAAACTTTTCTGCGACGGAACATTTTCGTTGCAGCTCCGTCGCAGAAGTTAAATCTGCCACGGAATTTCAAATTCTGCAACAGAAATTGTCCGTGGCAGATCAGCAGTTTTCTTGTAGTGTATAGTTAAGTAAAATATGGATCTTGGCCCGCTAGGGTATTCTTCTCACGAAGAAACCCCAAGTCAATAGGTTCCGTACCTGAGGGTAATTAACTTGTTAGAAATAGTGGGAGAGTATTTAATAAAGACCTATTAGATACTTAATTCATGATAATAACTATCTTTGCAAAATTCTGTAGATGGCAAACAACAACACAAACAACCTCGCCCTGCGTTCCATTCTGGATAAAGATAAATTGAACGGAACAAACTTTGTTGACTGGCAACGCAATCTCTCCATTGTTCTCCGCATGGATGAGAAAGAGTATGTGCTCGAAAAGCCCATTCCTCCTGCCCCTCCCGCTAATGCCCCGAAAGCGGTTAGAGGTGCCTACGATAAACACGTTAAGGATGACAACCAGGTTAGCTGTGTCATGCTGGCTACCATGATAACCGAGCTGCAAAAACAGCACGAGGACATGAAGGCCCACGAGATGATCGTGGCCTTGCGGCAGCTATACCAGGGGCAATCCAGGCATGAATGTTTTCTCGTGAGTAAGGCTCTCTTTAGTTGCAAGCTCTCTTCAGGGAACCTGGTCGGTCTGCACGTTCTCAAAATGATTGGTTACATAACCAATCTAGAGAAACTCGGGTTCTCCTTGCAGAAGGAGCTGGCAACGGACCTGATCCTGCAGTCGCTCCCTGAGCTGTATAAGGGTTTTGTTATGAACTACATGATGCATGATCTTGACAAACCCCTTCCGGAGCTTCTTAAAATGCTACTGCAGAGGAGAACCTTACTAAGGGCAAGGGTGCTTCCGTCCTTATGGTCCAAGGCGGAAAGGGGAAGCAGAGAGAAGAAGAGGATTAAGATTAAGGCTAGGACGGTCGGAAAGCCTAAATCAAAGTCCACTTCATCTGCAACCCAGAAACCCGTAGGAGGAGTTGCAAAGGGCAAATGTCATCACTGTGGTAAGGCAGGCCACTGGAGGAGAAACTGCAAGACATACCTCGCAACCAAGAAGAATGAAGGTACGACCATTTCTTCTGAGGTGTATGTTATAGAAGTTAACATGTCTATATCTTCATCATGGGTACTAGATACTTGATGTGGGTCTCATATCTGTACTACCATGCAGGGACTGAAGCAGAGTAGACGGTTAGCTCGAGGCGAGATTGAACTTTGAGTCGGCAATGGTGCACCTGTTGCAGCTTTGGCAATCGGAACTTATAGTTTAGTCTTGCCTAGTGGTCTAATGTTGGAATTAAACGATTGTTTGTACGTTCCTGCAATTAGCAGAAACATTATTTCTGTTTCATGTCTTGATAAGAGTGGTTTCATCATTTCTATTAAAGACAAGTCCCTTTCCATTTACAGAAAGAATGTTTTCTATGCTAATGCCAACATGACCAATGGGTTATATGTCCTTGACTTGGACATGCCTGTCTATAACATATCAGCCAAGAGGAACAAACCAAACGGTTTGAACCAAACATACCTATGGCATTGTAGGTTAGGCCATATAAACGAGAAACGCATATCCAAGCTACATC